GGCCATTTTTTAAAGATTTGTTTTTTTTATTTTTAAAAGGTCATCTTTGACCTCCCCACCCTGTATTTTTGTTTCTTCCTTACCATACAGAGTCTTAAAAAAACATGTCATAAAAGTATATTCGTAAGTACCTCACCTTTACTGCTAGATCATAAGTTAAATGTAATAAAATGAAGTTGCTGGTGCCTGGATCATTGTGAGCATTCACTGACTGTTTACTGAACCTGCATCTTTTAGGAAAGATATTATGTTATATATATATTTGTGTTGTGCTTGGTTCAGTTCTTTGGCCCTGAAAAGTGTTTAATATGTGTTGTTGAGCAAATCCTTAGGAAGGTATGAAACCTCAGGCTTTAACCAGAAAAGCAATGTGAAGCTGAATGTTAAGAACTTGTGATCAGGATCAGGAGTTTTAGGTCTAAAGATTCTAGACTCAACTTTCCTAATAGACCAAGGTGGACTCAGCCTCGCAATCATATAAGATTGAGCATAAACCTGAAGATATGAATGGCTTCTATGGCTAAATAATGACTTAACTACACGCAATGATTAAGGAAAGGGAAAGATGCTGCACTTTGTGCTTCCTCATTTAATAAAACTGAAAGCCAGAGAAAGCACAAAGTCCAAGCTTATCTAAAAAAACATATCAAAAAATTTTGAGAGTTTTTTTTGGTAGAAAATAGACTACTAGAGTTTAAAATTCAGGTAAGGCTTTATGTTAAGACTCCTTTGTGTATTTTCTCAAAACCTAATTTTAACTCTTGTCCCATTGATTGAGAGAGATTGATCCATTGGCTTATGTTGTAAGTGGTAACCAGTGAGGCAGAAAGGGTCAAAGAAAAGTAACATTCCATATGAATCCCAAAGAGAAGATCAGGCTTGTTTCTCACCCTATAAGTTTTTGTTACTGGAAAAAAAAAAAAAAAAAAAAAGGAAAAAAGAGAGAAGAAAAGAATGGAGATGAAGGATGAGGTTAAGTCTCACCTTGCAGTGTACCTGTTAACACCTCATTGCTAGGTCATTAAGATGAGTAAGTGGAGGTTTGGGGTTCCAGACTTTATTTATTTTCTCTTAAGTTCAAATGTCTTTCCAGGAGTTCCTGGACTTTGTATTATAATCTCCAGATACTTGGCAATAAATTTCAGCTACCATAACCTGTTTAATAAATTTTTTTTGGCAGTGGCTTATGGAGAAAATTTTGTTAAAAGAGGAATGATTACTATGGAGGTGAAGTTAGATATGTCAAGAGATGAAATAGTGAAAAAAATAAGCAACTTAATGATTAGAATCTCTACTCTTAATATGTTTTCAGAATGAGGGAAATACTGTATTTTATGTTTCCATGTTAATCATTAATATATCCTTCATGCAGCGCAAAACTGTGGTTGAAAATATGTTAAACAGTTCCTTTTATGTAGTAGCAACTCATAAATAAATACTTGATATATCTGAACTGTGGAGACATGTCTTATATATCATTGTATTTTTTAAAATAAATTTATTTATTTATTTTTGGCTGCATTGGGTCTTTGTTGCTGTGCGAGGGCTTTCTCTAGTTGCGGCGAGGGGGGGGCTACTCTTCATTGTGGTGCACGGCGGTCTTCTCATTGTGGTGGCTTCTCTTGTTGGGGAGCACGGGCTCTAGGCATGCGGACTTAAGTATCTGTGGTACACGGGCTTCAGTAGTTGTGTCTCATGGGCTTTAGAGCGGAGGCTCAGTAGTTGTGGCTCACGGGCTTAGTTGCTCCGCGGCATGTGGGATCTTCCCGGACGAGGGTTTGAACCCATGTCCCCTCCATTGGCAGGCGGATTCTTAACCACTGCACAACCAGGGAAGTCCCTATCATTGTATTTTTAATGTTTCTTTTTATGCCTGCTTCCTTTTTTTTTTTTCCTGCCTTCCCTCTTGTCTCCCTTTTGACTTTATTTAAAAATATTTATTCATCTCTTTTTTATGCAAAATGCCATGTAGAAATATAACGAGTAAAATAAATGCCTGTATTAGAGGCACTGGCCAGTTGGAAGGTAAGGCAAATAAAATAACAGGTAGAACATTAAAGAAATAAGGCTATAAATACTTCAGTAGTCCAATGAGGTCCACCAAGTAGGTTCATCAAGGAGGTCTTTATAATGGAGATATCTGACTTACTTCTTGCATCAGTTCATTGATTTATGTTTTTCATTCATTAAAAGTACTTTTGAGGATCTACTATATTCCAAGCATGGTTTACAGACACGAAAAGTTCAGAGGTAAACAATACAACTCTAGTCTGTGTTTTCATAGATCTTACCAGATAGTAAAGAAAATATACAATTAACAATATTATACAACAGTTACAGAATTGTGCTAAACGTTCCGAGGAAGACCTAGAAGAACTAGTAGAGCATATAGTAGGAGATCTAATTTAGAGATCCCAGGGAATGCTTTATTGAGGAAGTGACATTAAAACAATTTTGGGGCTTCCCTGGTGCGGCAGTGGTTGGGAGTCCGCCTGCCGATGCAGGGGACACGGGTTCGTGCCCCGGTCCGGAAAGTTCCCACATGCCGCGGAGCGGTCTGGCCCGTGAGCCATGGCTGCTGAGCCTGCGCATCCAGAGCCTGTGCTCCGTAAAACAATTTTGAAGAATGTATAGGTATAAGCCAAATGAAGGCTAGAGTTATGGAGGCAAGAAGGAAGAATTTTGGTCATAGATGGGATAGCATGTATGACGATCCTAAGGCTGGTATGATTTTGAGTCTTTTGAGGAGTGGAAGGTAAACCTTTGTGGGAGAAATAGAGGTCAAGTGAGGGAAGAGTATGAGGTGAAGCTGGAGAAGTGGAGAAGGGTCTGTGTATGCTGCCTTGAGAAATTTTAACCTCATCTTTGAAGTCACCGAAGGGTTTAAGCAAAGGTGGCTACTGTTAAGTGGCAAATAGCATAGAGTGAAAGTCAGATAGCCAGTTACAAGGCTATCTCAGGAGTTCAGATTAAAGATAATAGCACCTTGGATTTTGTATGGTTTTGGCATTGGAGTTAAGAGAGTGATTCATTATGTATCTTCCAGGGAAAGTAGACAATACTTGTTGGTTCGTTGGAGAGGGAGTGTCAAGAGGACTGTAAGATTTCTTATATGAGCAATGGTGGATTATGATATCCTTTACTGAAATGAGGAACAGTGTGTGAAGTTTAAGATTATGAGCTCAAATCTATGATAGTCTCACTTTATGAAAACAAATGCAGATTTTGGAGGGGCAATTTAGACAAGTGTGCAAGTGTACTGCTCAGAAGGGAGATCAGCACTGAAGATGAAAATGTGAGAGTTAGGGGCACAAGGAGGGATTTTGAAGCCATTGTGTCGATGTTACGCATCAAGAGGGTATCATGCTGAGTGAAACACGGCAGACAGAGAAAGACAAATACCCTATAATCTAAAATCTGTATGTTTAGACCTGGAATCTAAGAAACAAAGCAAAATGAAAACAGACTCAAATGTGTAGTTGCCAGAGGGAAGGGGGTTGGAGAGTTGGGCCAAATAGGTGAAGGGGATTAAGAGGTACAAACCTCCAGTTATAAGTAAGCCACAGGGGTGTAATACACAGCATAAAGGATATGGTCAAAAATATTGTAATAACTTTGTATGGGGACAGATGGTTACTAGACTTATTGTGGTGATCATTTTGTAATGTATGCAAATGTCGAATCACTACGTAGTACACCTTAAACTAACATAATGTTGTATGTCAGCTATATTTCAATTAATAGAAAATAGTGGATGTTATTTGGGCCAGCAAAATGATATTTTTTCCTAGACATAATTTTTGCCACATGGTTCCAAATACACATGTCATTCTGCTGCATGATTTTAATACAGTCAGGAACAAGTATTTTCCCCTCTTGAGTAACAGGGACAGGTATTTTTCCCTCTTGAGTAACATTCCTCTAACACAATAATGTAAGGGAGAATAAAATGCATTAATTGAACCTACTTTTTAACACTAATTGCTTGTATAGTATCTGTTCTTGAATAGATATTTAGAAATTTCTTATGATGGATTCTTCTGCCCTCACTCCATGCCCCCAGAGAATGTATTTTGATGGTAATTTATTGGAATATTTGATTGGTTAAATAATGTCTTATGTCAGGCAATTTTGTAAATAACATGTTCTCCCCCCCCCAAGGAATCGGGTTAAGGGTGGAAATGTTTTTATAGTAATTATTATCTAATTTGTTGCTTTAAAGAGCCCTATTTTATATATCCCTAATAGTTCATTTCATCAAATGTTTATAAAATCTTCCCCATCAAAGGGTCTAACTGAAATATGAAATGTGTTAACTCATGATAATTTAAAAGCAGAGTTTGTTAAGTATCTATGTGATCTCTACTAAAGGTATTGCAGCTGACTTACTCGTTTTTTAAAAGAAACACTTTAGTGTTCCACAATCTAAATTATAGATTTTATTTTATTATAAAATAAGAAGAAGCTCTTTCTGCATAACTTTGAAGAAATTGATTAGCAGAATAGACAAGCAGTTGGAAACTCTTCCAGTTTATTACAGATGTCACATGATCTAAAGTAAGGCTAGAATTACTCTTGAAATAAATTCACAATTTAAAGAGTCAGCTCATTTTGTGGCTTCACTGATAAAATTGAAACCTCTACTGAATTGAGTTATCTGTCTAAAAATGCTTCATAATGATTTAAGGTACTGGTAAAATTACAGTATTTTTTTAAACCTGAAATTTCTTAAGTATCACCATCTTTATTACTTTACTACTAAGTAAGCTAGGGTCTGAGTACTGATTAATCCATGAGTTGACTTCTTTGCATATATATCCAGATCCATAGAGCTAAATAGCTCTGTGTGCTTCCTGGGAATTTGTGGATATGTATTATTTCTCCATTTGTAAATTTATTTGGAAAAGAATGCCTTTTTTGGAGCAATCATATTGTCATGTAACTTGTATCATTCCTTTGTATCATTACTCATCTTGTGCTGTGTTTTCTTTGTCCTGAAGGAATTGCCTATGATCCTCTGATGCTGAAACACCAGTGCATTTGTGGCAATTCCACCACCCACCCTGAGCACGCTGGACGCATACAGAGCATCTGGTCACGGCTGCAAGAAACTGGGTTGCTAAATAAATGTGAGGTAATCCTGAATTGGCCACACTCTTTTACTTACTTAAATAAATCATGTAAAGAGGCCAGTATTCAATTGGGTAGGTGTAGAAAAATGTTAACTCTGTAGTACAAACACCATGATTGATGAACCATCGTAGACATTAGTAGCATAGAACTTATAACCTGACACTGGGCTGGGCACACAGTGGGTACTCAGTCTGTGTTGATGGACTGAGCAGCTGCCTGATGTATGTGCTGTTACTGCAGCGTTTTTCTGTACACACAGTAGTATTCTAGGTATCATTTATTGAGTTAATTTTCTGAGAAACTCTTCGCAAACTGTTAAGTGCTCAGTAGTTGTTATTTCTTGTTATAAGCGATACTCTGAACTAACGTATATGCCGATTTTGCCTCGTGGAAATGAATAGTTTTAAAAGATTAACTGTCTTCTTACCAAGAAAAGTCACTTCTTCTTATTGATGTTTAGATTCATTTCTGTAGATTCTTGGTGAGTCTCATTTTTTATTTAGAAAAATTAGTTTCTTTAGGCTTTCAAAAGTTAAAAGTAAAAGTGTTATCAGGTCAAAAAGACTCCCATTGTCAAATCTGCAAAATATATAACAACCAGCAGTTGTTTGATTTAGTTGCTGTAAATGTCCAAAGTTGCTTAAGATCCAGTAACAGTCTATATTTGAGTCTGAAACTTTTTTAAAAGAAAAATATCCCCCATGTGTTTTCTTACATTACCTTAACATTTATTGATCAAAAGCACTTTTTCTTGGGTCTATATTCTGTTCCAGATGTGTTCTAGGGACTAGAATTATGGAATTTCACAAGGCAAACATGGTCCCTATTCTTATAGACTGATAATTTAACATGTTGCAGAACATATTTGGTTCTGTTATCCTTTATAGAGCAATGAAGGGAATCTAACTAGTTCTTACCAGTTTGGGAAAAAAGTAAATGGATAATATTGATATTTTGACCATAGTTATGTCAGAAGGAAACTAATACTTTGAAACTATACTAAATTCACTGTACTTTGATAAAATGAAGACAATCTTTTGTGACTACTTTTGAGTTAATTGAGTTAACTGATTTTGACAATCGAAAATGTAGTCAATAAAATTCTATTCAAAGCCAATTTACTTTAAAGTGAACCTGTAAAATATTTCAGTTGAAATAGACATGCCAAAGGAGACAGACTATTTCTTAGAGTAAAGTGCACTTGCCTCTATTTGATAGCAGGAGTTAATTCAGTCTGATTTTTCTTCTCTGCAAAGTACTAAAAATAACTGACTTTTAAAGATGCAAACTCATTCATTCGTTGTGTTCATTTCTAAGGATAAATTATTTTTTTTATTGATTTTCTCTTTTGAAGATGAACTGTCTATCTCATCTTACAAGGGAATTAAATGGTTATTTTCTTTACATCAAAATATAGATAATGTCGATGGGTCATTCAGCAGTTGGGATTGTAAATGAATACGTCAGAGCAGTGTATACAGACTTAGTTTCACAAGTTTTATTATGTGTTGATAATAGAATTATCAAATGTTTTTCATATGTGGAGTTCTGCTTTTGATTAAATGTATCCTTTACCTAGAAACCCCAAAGTGACAGAATTTCAGCTAGATTTATTTCTCTGGTTCTTTCCTGAGTGAAAGTCTATTATTCATATTTTTCCAGTAGCATCCATATTATATGGCAGAAGGCTTTCATACTCTTTGGTAAATTTTAGAGTTATCTTCAAGGTTTTCATGATTTTGATAATGCAGTTTGGAAGCCAAACCACTCTACTGTCTGCACGATCCTATATGGAGCCGGTAAAGTAAACCATCAAGGAGACTTACTTGTGGTAGACTAGCCTTAATGGATGTTTGTTCATGAGAGTGTTCCTGTCTCACCTTCGCATCTACTATAGATGTTTTCTAGCTTGGCTGTCTCTCTTTACTTTTGCAAGCTGAGGCATTGCTGTTTACATTTTTTTCACTTTCAAGTCTTTGTTATATCCTGAAGCCCTGCCCCAACTGCTCCAAATTAGCAGTGCCTGATGATAGCTTGAAATGCATTGTTAGTTTGTGATATCCCTTAAATCTGTTACCTGAAGGAACACTATTTATGAAAGGAGCAAAGTGCAGAAGTAAATGGAATGTAAGATGGTTCACACTGGTCTTAAAATTTAAAAGTCTATTATCCTTTTGTGATCAGTCTTCTTCTTCTGTTCCTGGTACATCACATTATTTTAGTCTTGTATTATTTGAAACCATGAAATTCAGTTTATACAACAGCACTGCTGATGTGACATCAGGCCCAGGATGAAATGTTAGAAGAACAGTGGGCACCCCACAGTTGAGTGAGAACGAGTGAGTCTATTCCAGTCCAGTCAGCAAAGACGAGTCTCTCTAGCAAACAATCACACAATTAACAAATAATGCACTTGAAAGCCCAGATTGGCAGATTGGCTCTTAATGAAGACCAAGCACAAAAGTCTGATCCAAAACTTTAAAAGTGCAAACAGAACACTCTTTTTCCTAACTTAGTTTAAGGACAGTTCAGCAGGTGTTTGCTTTCCTAAGTGATGAAATTGTTGCCCATATTATTTATTTGCTCCTGTGTTATCAAAACATCTATGACTTATGCTGACCTAATCCAAAACATGCCATAGAATTTCACTGGGACAGGAGGTAAGGAGTCTCAATTCTGCCGGTGTACAGAGAAAAAAATGCTTTCCTCAGCCAATGGAGTAGTCAATGTTGCAATTAAACAATGATTATGATAGAAAAGATGGCGATTTTAAAACGTTGAAAGGGCTTCTTTGTTTTTAAACAATAGTCTGATCCACAAATCAAACTTATGTATCGTTTCAATTCATTTATCAATGTAGAAAATTAATCAAAATGGATTCCTTCAAAGGTTATTGTTCAGTGTTAGAGTTGACCTTAGTCCTGCCATTAATTATCTGTGTACTTTTGTCAGATCATTTAACCTTAGTGATCTTTGGTTTTCCCATATGTAAGATGAGGGTGTTAAGCAGGATATTTGCTAGGATCTTTCAGCTCTAATATCATATGAAATTAGATGCCTAAGAAGTTAATTTGGAGCATAACACTTTCTTTGGTTAAGAGTAGACAAAACTTTTAGGATGTTTTAGTAAACATATTGCTTTTAGTTTGTAAGCTATAGTGTAAATTGGCTGTGCTTACAGTCCTGATTGGCAGCCAGAGAAAACATTAGTCCTTATTATATTAGATTACAGTGGTTACATGGGTTAACGTCTCTTGGCATGACGTGGCACTGTTTTAAAAAAATTGAAATAGTTAATAGTCCCTCATGCCAATACCATTTAGTTGTTTCCCCTATTGAATCATTCACACTGAGTTTAGTGATTCTGTTGGGAGTAAAAAGCAAAACCAGCAGCTTTCTTGTCACCATAAGAAATGGGTCTGGAGGGGTCATTTGATGTCCTCTTTGGGAATAAGCTCTTGGATTAGGTAGCCAGGTTTCTGAAGTGTGTGTGCCCCTGAAGAAAAAGATGTGCTCTTCTGTGCTTAAAAAATTGCAGAGGTTGACCCATCATCTGTTAGAAATGCACTTGCAGGTGTTTTTCCAGAAGTGCTCATGACTCTCAGCCCACCACGCCACCCACAGACATTTGCTTGCTCTCACGTTTGTTTTGAGAATAATAACATTTTATAATGCTTTTGTTGGATTATACATTATATGGAATTTGCATTGCCTCTTTGTGACTAATATTGAATAACTTTGTTTCGCTTAATTCATAAGTAAAAACCATAAGCAACATACTGTGCTGAAATGTTTAACTCCTTTATTCAAGTGCCAACACAAAGTAATTACAAACAATTCTGGGACACAGAACCAAGCTACTGTTGCCCCTTCTGGGACTTCTCAGCCATTCCAGTGAAAAATGTAGAGAGCAGGTTTAGTGTAAAATCTTAAGATGCCAGGGAGCTCAGGGATAGGGTCTCCAGCACACTTTCCTGCACACACAAGTGATTTTTAAAATACCTTTTGTAAATCTAAATAAAGAAATATAATACTCTTTAGAAAAACTCAATTTTGAAGTGTGCAAGTTTTCTGACTTGAAGGTTACAAAGTACTAAACATTGCAAGTTAATGGAAATTCAATTAAACATTTGTTTTATGGACTAATCTAACTAGATGGCAGCACATAACAGCTTACTGTTTTGTTTAGTTTGCAAAAAACTTTTGTGTATGTGCTTGTGTCTTAGAATCTAACCACAAAGCAATAAGAAACTCAAACAGGGAATCTGGTGAATTGTCTCTAAAGGATATGGCAGTTATGGAAAGAAGTACAAATGATCTAGACATGATGAGTAAACCAAGGTGTCATTATTCTGAGAGAAATTTGTATAACCCAGTAGAGTGGACCCTGGCAGATAAATAACATTAAAAATACGTGTGCAGCCCATAATCAGAATTAAGATGATTTGGAATTTTTTTTTTGATTTTGATTTCTGCAAAAAAAAATTAATGTGGAAAACAACCAATAAAAGGAAGTAAGACAGGCTGCCCTTCTGAGTCCATTTGGAAAGTGATACAGGATTTTTTTTTTAAACAGCAGCATTAAAGCTTATTAGCAAAAAATGACTAGTTATATGGATTTGAACTGTCTGAAAGTTGTTGTGCTAAAGTAACAAAATATTTATTGTGACAAATTTGTTTCATACATGATTAGTATAAAAAAATGCTTCAACCCAAATCAGTAAAATGTTCATTACAATGTTTAAAAAAATAATTACAACATAGGAGATTCAGTTGCATAAAAATTGTGAAAATTGAGCCAGTACACTAAGGCATAACATTTTTTTCTTACTTTCTGATGAGCATAATGGTTTGAAATGAGTGGACACAAAACTGGAAAAAAAGTACATAGTACATACGCTTTTTACCACCCAGACATTTGTTATTGAATGGACTTGCTGTTTTCTGAAGTACTTTTGAAATTATTCTATGCCCTGAACTACTTTTAAATAAATTGTAATG